AGAATGGCGCTTGTTGGAAGGCAACCCAATGGTTTGATTTTTGCTATTTGTTTTCTTGAATAAATCAGTTGTGTGGTTAAGTTTTTTGTTCCTGGTGATCTTGAGAGCTATGATTTCTTGATTTTTGTGGTTTTTCTTAATCATTTGATTGGCGTAGTGTTAGTTTATTTTAATGGTTTGTTCAAGTGTGGCAGCTTGCTTTTAATGAGTATTTTTATGGTTGGTCAACCCACGTGTGAATGCATCAAAAGCTGTGGAACTTTACTCACACCAAATTTCATTTCGCCACTACAATATCCCAAGAAAGTACCGTTTCTTTTTCTTTTACAGTATGTGGGAGTTTGCATGTACTTTTGTTGTTTGTCTCTGCATATATTTCATTAATTGAGGACAATGTATGTTTTAGGTGTGAGGGAAACGATTTTGTGTTGTGTTTGTCTATAAAAAAAAAAAAAAGAGATTTGTCAATAGTCTATGATGAATTCAATTTTGAGGCTTACATATGATTATAAAAATACATGTTCAGGATCACTGTTAATCATGTTAGAAACTCATGACCACATCTTTATGCACAACATTCGACTTGACAGTGTGTTTGCTTTAGGCTTAAACTTTTAAAATCTTGAATGCATTAATGCATTGTTGTGATCTTATACTGTAGTCCACTTGTCTGAAACCTGGGGAGACTGTGAATCTGGGAGTTAGACTAAGGCAACCCTACGCATTATGGCAGCCTCGAATCGAGCCCGTAGTGGTTTCTATTAGCCTAAATACTTTGGGAAAAAGGGAAAAGTTGGCGGTTGAATATGAGGTTAAGTGCTTTATCTAATGAGGGAGTATAGGCAGAGTGTCCAATGTGGCATTTAATCCCTTGAGAGGTGAGGTATGGTACCAAAGAGAGAAATGTCCTCAGGCCTGGTGAGTTTAAATAGAAAATGCTTAGATTACCATAGTTGCTGAAATATGTGCTTTGTATAGGCCTAAGTGGGAAAGATCCAAAAGAAAAGCCAATTTGGACAAATGGATGAAAAGGTACGAGGGTGAAAGATGCAGCCAATGATGCTTGCAGAAAATGAGAGAAAGCCCTTAGATCGGGACCTCAGTAAGAATACCCTAGTTGAAGGCAAGAAGGAAATAGGTACTGATCAAAAGAATGTCCACTTGAAAGTATATGAATGTAATCTTAGGTTAAGCAACACTTTGTTTTGTGGTCTGTTTCACACACTCACGGAAGTGAGTTTCTCACTTGATCAAGGGATACTGAACCGTGGTATACATTATTTGTCTCTAATGAGACTAGAATCTGAGACAACTTTTGACAATTCTCTTTCTTGTTTTTGCAAGTTAGAGTCAGTAGGAAAGGATATTATCATATTTACTTTGAGTTGTGTTTGCTTGAGGACAAGCAAAAATCTAAGTGTGGGGGAATTTGATAGGTCTTGAAGTTTCATATTATTTATGGGTATTTGTATAGCATTTTGGATTAGATTGTGCACTTATATTATGTATTTTGATGTTTTTGGTTCTTAGGAGTCCTTAGAGATGAGATGGAGCAAAATGTTCCATAAACACACATTTTTGGAGCATTTTGACAAAGAAGCACAAGAAGGAGCAATGACATCACATTCTCGTGTGGGCACACGAATCTCAGTCCAAAATTGAGCTTTAGAGAAGAAATTCCAGCATTGAAGCTGCATTCCCGTTTGGCCAAACCGAAACAGGGACTAAAATAAAAAATTCAAAAAGTTTTGTGGTCAAAATGTAAGTTTGCCAAACTTGAGGGACCAATTTGCTGCTGTGGATTTCTGAAGGGCTGCTGCGGCTGTCCTATTTTCTGATTATAAATAGACTTTCCTTTTCATTTTGAAAAGGTAGGAGGTAGTAGAATAAAAATAGATGTAGTTTTCCACTTTTATGGAGTTTTCAAAGGCACTTTCTTCATTTTTGGGAGTCTTCCGATTTCATAGACATCCATCGGTAACATTGTTCAATGAATTTTTCTTGTGATTCAGTTTTCATGATGAGTAGCTAAATTCATTCATCTGGTTGAAGGGTATTGAAGCATTGGTTTGAATAGTTGTGACATCTAAATATTGTTTATCTCTAAATTTCTTGTGAGTATTTACTTGTTATATTGCATGATTGATATGATTATTGTGAATTCATGAATAGCTGGTAGCATTCGATGCTTCTTAATAATCTAAAACCAATAAGATAACAAGAATTGTTGTTTAAATAGGGTATAATATAATTTAATTACTTGGTAAGTAATTATTTATGTTATAAGAACAAGTAATCCGGTTTAATATAAAACAAGGTTTGTTTTATAGGAATTGGGATTGGGTCTATGTGTTTAATGTAGTAGTTTTCTAAATCTTAGGAGGTTCCAAGATTAGTTTTCGACTAATATATGATTAATGAAGGTTTCTTAATCATTGAAAGATTGAATTGTTTGGAGGTTCCAACAATGAAAACTAATCTACTCATAAGTTCATGATAATATCATTGCATCTATGATCAACTGTTTAAATCAAGGTGGATATACAAACCCTTCGGCCAGATATTTTCTCATTATTTGTTTGCATCATTTTAGCTATTGTTTTCAATTTGTATTGTTTGCAATTTATTTCAACAACTCAAACCCCCTCCCATTTGTTACTTGATTTAAAAGAGAGAAATTCACCATTCCCTGAGGAGACAACCTTACTTTCCTATACTACATTAGTTTGAAAATAGGTTAAATTGTTTGTTAGCTTGACACCCCATCACATGATCAGACCGAATTTAATGTCTCATCTCTTTTAATTTATTCTTAATGGCAATTTCTTTTATTTTTTAAATTTGGGTTTGGAATTACGTTGAGTCTGGCTGTGATTTCGGTTTATATATATATATATATATATATATATATATTAAGTTAGTGATATCTTTTTTTTATGAATCGATTTGAATGAATAACGAATATGGTTGTGATTTGGTTTTTTGTTCGTGCAATGAGGAAATATTAATTACAAATTTAAAGTTGAATTAAAATAGAAATTTACCGATTGAACCAAATTGTGGCCATTATTCATCCTGTCAATGTTTATATAGATTAATTTAGATACTTATGGTCATTAGGATATTACCAATGCATTAATTATTAGCTTAATTTGAGAAACTTTTGATTTGCACATAAGTTGCCAGTATAAGTTTTGAACTTTTAACATTCAATGCTTTAATTTAATCACATATTTTAGGGAAACCTATTAACTTCTTTGGATATTTTTACCATTAATAATTAATTTTATTGATGGTGTTCATGATATATACACCATCATACATGGACTATTGTGATAAATTTTAAAACTACTTTTTGAGAAATTGCCACGTAGGATTTTGTACTACATGGCGGTGTAGAAATCATCCTTTGTTTCTTTCACTGGTTTCTCTACTAATATATTATATAATAGATTTTACGGGGAGTGTTCAAAACGACTCCAGCTTTAGAACATGGGTTTTAATTTCCAAAAAAGAACATGGGTTTTCTTTTTAAAAAAATTAATTATATAATGAAAATTTTATCCCGATTAAAGTTGTGGTATAATCGTGATGTGAAAACGATGTTATGTGACTGTGCTCCGACTAATCATAACACAGTAGTAGATGCTTGGCCCGGGCGGATGTCCGGACGCCTTCAATGTTACAGTCATATGAATTTTTTTAAAAATAATATTGTGTAACATTATTATAATATTATAATGTATAGGTACCAAGAAAGAATGGGATGGAATTAAGGTCGCTAATGAACAAATTCGAATTCAAAAAACATATATAAATTATTCATAGGCTATAACCAACTTCAGATTTATTTGAATTCTTAACCAAACATCACTTTGTTTATAAAGTTTCAAATCATGCAAGTCAAAAGTTTGATACACCAAGATTGTTTGGAACTACAAAGCTAATAATAATCCTACTTGTTTGGATATGCTGTGGTTAGTACCCCCTCAGCAGCAAGCATCCGACGTGCTGCAGCATCTCCAATGTACTATAATAATTTCCTCCCATCACCATCTCTATTGCCATCAACGCCTTCGCCGCAGCCTTTTCCCTTGTCATCCTACTTTTTACATGGAAGCACGGTGTTTCCAGCTTCGGAGGAAATGCATATCTTAGATGCATATTGTTGGGCAAAAGTAAACAGAAGCAATATGAAGCCTAAAAGCATCAACTCTGCCTATAAATTCTCCAAAAAATTAGAAAAATGGCTAATGATTTTAAAGCATTAGTATTTCATGGATAAAACAACACAAATAAAACAGTAAGGAAACATGTGTTTCCAAGAAGATTTACTTACTAGATTTTACCTTCTAAAGTGCTTCCAACATTGCTTTATTCTGGCACTTTTAAAACCACTTCAAAATTCATAGTTCACATTTCAGGAATGTTGCTGGACGCAAAATCAAAATCAAAATGAAGATGGATATAAGCAAATCAAGCACAAATTGATTTGACAATATCAGACAGTTCCAACTTCCCCCCTCCCCCTCCCCCAAGTTCCTTTTTAGTTTCTTTAATAAAAGCACTTGTAGATTTCAACATTAAAGCAGAACTGCAAAATATGTGATACATTATTTTTAAAGAGTGATATTATTAGTCTTGACTCACTTTCACTTGATACAATATACTAAAAGATGCTGGGGGTGAGAAAATCAACCTAAAACCATACCTGATACAGTGTTTCTTAAAGAGCTGCTTATTAACAGTCTCAACTCTCAACCTTCATCCAATGCAAGTTCCTGCAATGAATTTGGGAATCAAAATTATTTAACGCCAATTTAAGCAAAAAATCATGCTAATTATTAAAATGAAACTAAAAATCAGAAAGCATTGCATCATTAGTGGTTACCTCCAACCCAACAACTCTTATCCACCTTCGTCTAATAATAATCAAGAAAAAAAAGCATGATATTGGTTCATCTTCTAAGCATAAAAATTAGGTGAAAATGCAGATGATATTAGTAGTGTTGACTCACTTGGATGGTTATCCATACTGCCAAGGAAGCAGAGCTTATTTGAGAAGATATTCCCATGGTGGCTACCACTGTTAATTTTCGATGAATGCTTGATTGGCCTATTTTGATAACTTGCTCATGGTACAATGACAACACGAATGCACCACCAACACAAATGATGGTTCCCCATATTGTTGCAGTAAGAAGATCAACGCGTGAAGGGACGCTGCCAAACAACTTAAAAGATTATGTCAGATATTAAATACTTTTAGTATAATTTGTAATAGTCCATGGCAAGCACGTGAAAGGGTACTTTAGGCCACAACGGTATGAATGTGGGACTTGTCAGGAATTGATCTATTAATGTATGAATTGGAGTTGAAAGAGAAACAGAAAAAAAAATCAAATTCTTTCCCCAAATTATGCTCCCTCTCTCTTCTCTCTTCCTTTTCTCTATTCTTTCTCCTCTGAATCTCTCTTCTCCTTCCTCCGGCAGCATCACATATCTTGGCTTGTCCAACATTAGTTCTTACTTGTGCCCTTTCCAATCTATCACACAACGGATTAGTACAAACCTTCAATCTTGACAAAAAAATCAATCAATCTTCTCTTCCGTAAATTGAAATTTTCAAAGAAAAAAAAAAGAAGGAAGTATCACCTAACTGGAATGGCCAGGATAAAAATTAACGGTGGAATCAAAGTGGTCAAGGCACATGCAATAGTTGGAGTTGAATGTTTAAGCCCAACAACGCAAGTGATCTGATTCATTGATGCCCTGCATTTTCAACAAAAATCAAATTTCATACTACAAAATTTTTTGTTCGAATGAAAGAAACACAAACTTATGGAATGAAGTGCTTACCCAGAAATTGAGGATAAGAAACCGTGGAATGTGTTAACTGGCACCTGTTTTCCTGTAGTAAAATGGCATGCACAAAACAATTATACATCAAGATCCCTTTTTATTCTCAAATGAGTACAAAATCTTGCTATTATGTCCTGACTCCAAGAATAATCACCAACTTCAAATACCCGCTACACAATCATAAAACACTAAACTCTAAACAACAAAACAAAGCATTTACCTTAATTTTAACACAAAAAATAGATTCAAATTGCAATCGAAAAATACCTTATAACAAATGAATGCATCTTTAAGGACTCCATAGCTATTGTATCCAAGCCATATTTCGAAATTGATGTCCTACTTCCCTGCTTATGAGAGATAAGTTGAGGCAAAAGGGGACAAATTGCATGATTATGAAGGCCCTCCATAGCCCAAAATCCTATACCCACCATCATCTCTTATGTGTTTATCGGCTTGGTGTTTAACTAATAAGAAAGAAAAAAAAAACAAAAAAGTTCTTTTCCGGGTCTATTATAAATAATTGAAAATAGAAAAACAACAAAACTACCATAAAGAAAGCCTGAAGCCGAAAATTCTCCACCATCACAGAATGGATTAAACCGCCGTACATCCTTCCCTCTTATTAAAATCTTTGGAAAACCCTTTGGTTGCTGTTGAGATTCAATGGAATGAAGAACTGCAAATTATAGCAAAAACTCCGGCCAGATCTGTCACCGTCGCCTTCAGAAAAATGTATCTGAGAGATGAAACTTGAGGGTGCGAAAGGGATGAGATCCTCTGAATATTCTAATTTTTTGAAAATGAAACGCCATTGATTGATAGGAGTTGAGGCAACGCAGTGCTGCTGGATGTCGAGGTCCTTTTTTTTTCCAGGAATCAGTAGAATGACGAGGTCGGTTAAAAAAAAAAGAAAATTTGAAGTGGCTTAATGGAAAGAAAGAATCCTTTAAATCATCTTGCTACGTCTGCATTGAGTTTTCTGGAATTGAGGAAGAATAATGTGGTAACTCTTCTTTGAAATTTGATTTTATTAACTCAAGAGATAATCGAGAGATTGATTGTTATCATTAGCTAAAATTGGGGAGACGGGAGCAAAATCGGGAATTCCAGATTGTACTTGTTCCAGTGTTGCTGTTTTTATTACTGTAACTGTATATAAATATGGAATAAGTTACCTCTTATTTTATTTTTTAAGTTTCGATAATTCAGAAGTAGACTCCTGAAAAGTAGCCTTTTTTTGGGCTAAAATTTGCTGCTCATACGTGAAGCCAGGTGTCGATCATTTGTAGCTTCATTTTTGTACTCTAAATATTTTTGGAGGGAAAATTTTTGTTGTTGTGCCGACACTTGTCCAAAATGTTTGTTGCTTTAAATAATTACACTAGATTTGACTAATAGATATTTATTTTGACGTATTATAGATAAAATAAAATAAAATAGAATAAAAAAGATGCAGTGATTAAACATAACATATATGCATGTGTAGAGAGAGTTTTTTACCAAAAAAATTATCAAGGGAAGAGCTTGAACAAAAATAATGTGAAGAGAAAAAAGGTGGACAGAAGTAGATATCCCGGATTGGGCAAATCCGAGAGCTCCTTCCTATCGGATTTCGCAAATCCGAGAGTAGATTATCTCAAATTTGGTTAATCCGGAAGCGTTCTAACGTAAAATTAATTAAATTAAACTAAATGATCAATTAAAATTAATTGGAATTCGGATTTGCAAAATCCGAAAGGCTTCAATAAAAAAATAATTATTATTTTGCAAAAAAAATCTAAATGTTCGAAAATAAAAGTTGACTAGAAATGGATCACCCAAATCGAAATCCGAAATATGGACTAAAATATTATTTTAGATTCTGAAAAGAAAAATCTAAGTGTTAAAATAGAAATTGCGGTAATCCGAGACTCCGCAGATTCTGCAGAACTATCGGATTTGCCAAATCCGAGACATACCAAAACGGTAGTATTTGGATTTGGCAAATTTGAATTCATAACAGTCCTAACCTTGTTTAAACAGCACCAACAACCAATTCATAACAAACGATAACATTTGCATAACAAAATAATGTAAAATTCTTAAAAAATACTAATCAACAATCATTTTTTTCTGCTAGAAATAGTGGCCGGGGTAAAGTTATCCGGCGTGTTGCGCGTCCTGTTAGATTTGCGAACACCTTGTTCTTGCGTCTCTGGAAGGATTGTAACAATTGGCTCCACCTTTAGGACTTGTGATTCTCCTCCGAGAGTAATGGTGACAAGTACCTCTTCTTCATGTGGAGTGATCCTCTCAAAGAAACAACATCGTCCTCTCTCCTCACATTGTCTCTTCCCATTCCTTTCCTCCTCCCACATACTCTCCTCCTGGGTTCTCTTGCTCATATTGGCCCGAACCTTCCGTGTGATCCTGTGATGGTGATGGCCAGAAAGGATTCTTTCGCTTTCTTCCTCCTCCAATTTTCTCTCTTTGCCACGGCTTCATTGTTTCACTGCGCGGACCTTGTTAGGGGCGACTTGTATCATACTTTACAAGGATTTGGGAATCCTCAATATCCATCTCATCGTCCTTTCCGAAAGTTAAAGCAGTGTGCGTTACGTCTGCGAAATAGTCGAGCACATTTTCAAGCTCTTCGTCTAGGTCATAGGCTCTACGACATTCTTCTCGGAATGATATGGCCCTCATACAGACATTGTTCAGCACTTCACCCTGGAAATCAAATAATGCTTTAACTAAAGGAGTATAATTCAAAATTTATATGGACAGAGTAAAATGCACTTCCATAGATAGATTAATTACAAATAAACACTTACATAGACTTTCACCTGGCTCGAGGAAGATTCATATCCGGCTGATGTGTAGTGGCTCGGATCGCTTATCAATTTCACTGAACCTTTGTTATGCCACGCTTCGTACTACTCATCAGTTTGACCGGGCTCTCCTTCCTCCAGATCTTGTGGAATGTTTCGGTGTCTCCTATTCCAATGGGGGCGTACTGTACTATGGTGATCCACCCAATTTTTCTCAGTAAGCCCAGATATGTTGTGTGCGTGAGCATTCCGATTCTCTTGGATATTAGTAATCATAGACCATCAGGGAACAGCTTGAATGTAGCCAAACTGTCTCAGGACCCTATGAATTTTATGGGGTTCTCGGACAGCCAAGTAGAACATCCACGTCCTTGCCATCCTAATGGCACTTCCCTGTTTACAACAATCAGGGAGGGTAGGGAGGAGATCCTCGTAGGGTTGCCAAACAAACTGTGAAAAAAATTTGAAATTAACAAATTAATTCACATAAGAATGGTGGCAAAAAAAAATAATAATAATAAAATAAGAAGTGATTAATGCTTACATCACTTGCTTTTAAGGCGGTCAATTGATCTCTAGAACCCGGGAGACTAGACCTTGGGACGTCCTTGTAGGAGTACGAGCAATTTCACCTTTCAATACAAAAAAAATTAAAGGAATTGTTGATCCAATAAAACTAATAATGATTAAAGTAAGCTTTAAATTAAGATTATAGGAAATAAACTTACCGATAAGTTAAAGGAGCAGTAGAATCCTCTTCAAATCTCTTTAAAATTCTTTGGGCATGATTCTCGGGATCCGCTGTATGCCCAAACCTAAATCAATAACAACAATAAATAATAATACTTCACAATATAATAAATATTTTTCAAATTGAATTGCCATGTATTGAATAAATAAATACATGTAAAAGATACACACGGCCGGTTACATCACGTTTCACATGATGACTAGCCTCGCACAGGCTAGAATACAAGTAAGTAAGTAGAGCTGATCCCCAACTAAGTTTTGAACAATGATTAAAATCCGCCAAATGGTTCAATAAATATAAACCACAGGAACATTAATCAGGACCTTTGTTGATACACGACCTCCGGAAAACCTACAAAAACAACACTTCAAACCTTAATATTTGTTTGGCCAAAAAAGTAATTAATACAAATTATATTAAAAAATATAAATAAATTTAAATATTACCTTCAGAGATTGCACGTTTCGCCGCTTCCTCTACAACCAAAATCTTAAGAGTATTTCCACTTATTCGACCCTCGGCAGGGGTGAATTCCAACATCTCTTGGCAAATTGATTGCCATTGCGCCACACCACGGTTTGGCGCCACACCACAAACCATGTCCCCATCAACCCGGAGACCAAATAGGACTTCCACATCTTGCAACGTCATGGTTGCCTCGCCGAATGGAAAGTAGAAAGTGTGTGTCTCAGGTCTTTATCGTTCCACCAATGCGGTGATGAGATAATTACCACATTTTTTGCAACCTATACCCCCTCGAATCCGGCGTTTGCCATGAGCATTCGTACCTGTGGAGGGATAAAATCACTATAGTAGCACTCCCAAAACTTTTGATCAAACCGACGATTTTCTAAAGGTTCGGTTTTGATCGTTGAATCGGAGTCATGGTAGACTGCTAAACTCCGATGTTGTTTTTGAAGATACAAAAGTTCCCCTCGTATGGGACTGGGCTGAAGAAACCACTCATTATATTGTGAACTTGGTGGTGGACTAGGTGAATCCTCCATCAAAGACTATACCACAACAACAAAAAAATACTATAAACAACACTATATATACAATAAAAAACACTATAAACAACACTATATATACATTAAAAAATAATAATAATTACATCCTAAACTCAAGAAACACAATTACAACTATATTCCACAATTCCAACAAAAAAAAAAACACTTAAACAACACTATATATACATAAAAAAAAAAAAACAATTCCAAAATTTCACACATTCATTTCTCAATGGTTAAAGTACTCCTCACCAAACCGTAAACAACATTAATGAGCTTCTAATCCAGGATATTAACCTATACATGATAGAACCATCCAACATACATGCATGCTCCTTTAAAAAAAAAATACATGTATGCTTAGAGATAATTAGACATTTTCTTCAAATAATTACCATCTAACATTTACCCAATTTTAACATTTAGGAAGGAAATAATCCCTCGGATTACCCAATTCCAACACTTTCAATTAAAACACTATAAAAATAATCTCTCGGATTACCCAATTCCCACATTTCGGGAGGAAAAAAAATAATCACCGTCGCATCAATAAATTATGCACAATAACAGCAAATCCGAACATATTAATCATTCCAAAAACTATCAGGAACAACAATTCAAAAAACAAATTAGGGCAAAATTAATTGGGGCAAAAATTAGGATAAATCTTAAAGGGGGAAGGATGTTACCTTTGTATTGGGAACGACGCCGGAGGCAGCGGTGAAGTGGAGCGCAGTGAGGCGGCGGTGGTCGGGAAGTGGAGGTGGTGGTGGTGTTGGCGGAGGTCTAGCAGTGGAGGGGTGTTTTATGGTCGAGGAGGTTGGCGGAGGGAGTGGTGGAGACCGACAGTGAAGGGGGAACGGCGGCGGAGTTCGGATTTGACCGGAAGTACTCTTAAGTGCTTTAATATACCTACACGTCAAGTTTGCCAGTTAAATACAAGCCAATACAAGTAAAAACAAAAAGAAAAAGATTAATTGAAATTTATCAAAATTGAAATTTACCTAGGAAGATCTTCAAAATTGGAGGACCAATCGCCATAAAACCGCCTCTATGGCTTTCCTCCTCCCGTTCCACACCCTTTTGTAGAGGACATCAACTTTTACCAACTCCTTCACATCTTTTTGCACCAATTTTACCGTGTAATCCACGTTGTCTGCAACCTTTCTCATGATTTGTCTAGCAATAAACGTCGAGTCCGCACAACGGTTGCCATTATTGTTAACCACCCTCATGCAATTGTATGCGGACCGCCATTTCATTATTTGATGCAAGCCATGCTTTCCTAGTGACACACGGATCCTCCATTTGCATATAGGTTCGTCATCTTGTGGGGGGGGGGGGGGGGAAATCTAATGTCCTACATCCAACCGCCCACGTCTTAGGGTTACTCGCGATAACCTTTAACTCCCTTTTATTGTGGATGTTCCACAACTTCAGGGCATGTTTCGCTTCTCCTTGGGACTTGAAACAAACTTTAATGCCCATTCCTTTGGAAGTCTCGTCCCACATTTTTATATCATTATCATCCTTGTAAACACGCGAGACGTTCCATTCACCTATTTCCTTATACACATGGCGCCGGGAAAATGGATTTAGTTCCCTTTCTTCATTCACCAATTCTTCATCATCACTACTCGAAGAGGGATCGCGTGCTTCCGAGCTTTCGCTTGGAGCCACGTAATCGGAATCATCATCATCCATGTAATTATCTTGTGCAAATAAACTTCCACCATCTTCTTCATGAACCCGTGAATTACTTGCTTGTTCTTGCCTTGGACCATTTTGTTCACACTCATCTATGTGATCATCTTGTGCAAAGAAAGATCTACCATAATGATTGTTCCCATTCTTTTTGGTTAGTGATATCCTCCGTCTCTACGTACAAATCCACACTTGTCATTGGCTCGAGGTGATAGATGATCCCAACATGTGAATCATTCTTTATCTTCATGAGGCGCCTTACACCATGAGTCACAAATAGTAACAAAATGTGGAGTTTCCTAGCTATTTCAAGACTCCAACCAAACGTCACACAACTCAAACCAAGCAACTCATCATATGACAACCTACTATCAATAACAGGAGTGTCGTCCAGCTGGTTCTCAAATGTGTTCACTACACCATTCTCTATCACATATTTGTTTGTATGAAACAAATTAAGTATGTATGGACCGGATGCGGACATTTTAACTGTTTATTAAGAGACAAAAAAAATGTAAACTATATTAATTGTAATCTCACCTAAAAAAAGAACAACAACGATTCTCACCTAAAAAGAAAACAATTCTCACCTAAAAAAAATAAAAAACAACAACAATTCTCATTAAATTATCCATACAAATTATCCCTAAACCCTATCAATTATCTACACAAACAAAATCAATCCAAATTCATTAAATTAACCTCTATCAATTCTTAAAACAACAACAATCCTAACCTATAAACTCAACAACAACATCTATATTACCATATAACATTCATAATCATCAAACCTAGGTCCTAACAATCTTCCACCTTCAAACAATATAAATACACAACAGAACAACTCAAAAACATTGATTTAATTACTAACCTCGTTAGAATGACGATTCTTGTTACATTTAGCGGTAAGTGCGTCCAAAAGCCTCAAGAACTCCGGTCACAACCTTCACTAACCCTCACAAATTGAAAAACCCAATATGAAGGGAAGCTGCAACTTTTTCTTTTTATATCACGTATGTTTCGGATTTGGCAACTCTGGGAGTCACTATTCATGTGGGTCACCTTATCCGATTCGATTTAATACATCCAACAACCTTATCCACAAGAACGGATTATCCCTAAACTGAAAGGATGCCCTCGGATTTGGCAAATCCGAGAAGTCACTCTAAACCCTGGGACTCGGATTTGCCAAATCCGAGTTCATTGTTCTAATAATTGAATTTCCCTGCCAATTTGTTGAATTTTTAAAATGTTAAATTTAACTCCTTTCGGATTTCGGAAATCCAAATTCTTTGTTCACCTTTTGACCCTGTTTTCTGTATTTTCCGAAATAAAGAAAATCCATAATTTTTTATTATGTTTAATTGTGTCGGATTTGGCAAATCCGAGAGTCGTTTTAACTAAGTTCTCGGATTTGCCAAATCTGGGACATCTACTTATGTCCACAAAAAAAAGTAAATTTTTTTTTGTGCACATCAATTCTTTTAAAATTTTTTGGCTGAACCCTTAAGAGAGATATAAATATTCTTGAGTAAAATTATTTTTTACATACAAATTTTTTTCTTCAAAAATTATATAGCTTTATTGAATCTAGAATTTTATTACTACCATTGTCTCCAAAAAATTGTATAGTTTAGATTTTTAATTTTTATTGTACTAAAAATGATAATTTAAAAATAATAATCATTTTGAAACAGGAAAAAATATACGTTTACTTTAGTGGCAACACTTTATCGTCAATATATAAAACAATTGATAGTGACGACAGTATTTTGTAACAAAGTGTTTGAATTTCGACTTTTGTAATGACAAGGACATAAGTCGTCAGAATACGTGCTCGATGAAGTTTGGTGACCTGGGTGGGAATACTCCTACCCTGCAATTCACGATGACTTCTTGGTCACTTTATAGGTTTCATAGCTAAATGCGAAGGCAGTGACCACCATTTATGACTACTCAAAATCACGTCACTATATAGTATCTTTATTGACTACCCTTCTGTCGTCAAAAACTAATTTGGTCATTAAATAGGGATTTTTCTTGTAGTTTGCAATTCCATAAGAGAAAACTAATTGAGTTAACATATGGACATAGCTAAACGTGTCCCAAGAGGTCCTGAACACCAGTAGAATTAGTACCTGTTTAATCCCAGAATAAAACATCCTCTCGCTACATTATTGGAGTTTAAAATATATAATTTTTAATTTTAAGACTGAGCGAGTAATACTTATTTTGGTAGTTTAAGAGTCACGACTTTTGAACATGGTCAATACATGAATAAAATATGTATATGGATTCATCATATAATCTAATAAAATAAAATGAAATAAAAATCCCCCAAGCAAAGTATATATGTACCCTTTTCTTTTTCATTTTATGGATAAGTTTTCTTGAACTTTACTCTAACTTTCCCAACGTGCCAAATCCAATTTCCTAATTAATACGCCCGATAGGGATAGACGTATTTCATTGGACGTTTTCGCTTTTGACAACCTGGCCAGTTGGGGAAATTTGGTCCATACTAGACAATTTGTAAATTAATGCAGAGCCACAGTCAGAGAATAGTGAATAGACACTTGAAAGATGTCAACGATCACAAGACATTACGAGCTTACCACGATGTTGAAATTTGAATCTTTTCACTGTCCTAACTATAAGTCTATAATTAGGTGGATTGTAAATGTGGCCGATGTGTTCGTTGTTGAATTAAAATAAATAATTTAAGGACCTTTTCCATAACGTAACTTAATGATTAAAATTACTACTTTAAGAAATTTCCAATTGAACGTGTATGATAACAAAAAATCTAACGGGTTATTTGATGAAACATTGATTCACGAGTTCGAAAATGGTGCACTCAAATGGGATATTTGGTAACATATGATTTTGAGGTGAAGAAACAGGAGCATCCATATCTCGAAGAGGAAATATCAACTTTCTTCCTTCATTTGTTGATGCAAGAGTCCTTTGTGAACACACAAACGGGGGAAATTGAAACCCATTGATTGTAATTAGCAATTGGATTGTGGACACAAAAATTGATTGGTTAGCCAATCAGCTATGCATTTGGATTTTCGACCTTTCAAATCGTGGATCACTGTGCAAGATATATCAGATGTCATTTAGCAAATGTTAATTTTGGTGTTTCAGTTTTCTTTAATGTTCTTCACAAATTTAAAATAGGGCAGCAGATAGTCCACACATTTATTGGCTAACATTTTCATATTGATTAGACTTATAAATTTTTTTCCCCCATACTTTGAGCTCCATCATGTTAGTGGATACAAGGCATTAATTTTATTTTATTTTATTAAATAATAAGGCCTTATAAACCCCAAAACTAAGTGTGATACGACATGATTCTTAGTAATAGATCTGGATTCAATTCCCACCAGAGTTATGTAAGAGTTGTTTTACCTATATTTAGGTGGAGTTTATTGGAGGTGAATTTTTTTTTTAAAAAAAAAAAACAAAACGACATGAAACTTGAATTCACCTGCATAACTTTGTTGAATAAGTTTAGAAGCACAGCTAACATGTGTAGAATAATTTCAACTTAAGTCTCCAATGTATAGGTATGGGGATATTGTCTCAAATGAGTCTGATATCTGAAATGAGCATTATCACCAAAAAAGAAACATACGAATATCCATTCAGAATTCAAAATATTATAGACAATATCTATCCATTACAAAATATCCGTAACACATAATTGTAAGCACCACTAGTGTGGTACGTACACATAGTAAAGTATCTAAATTGCACCAAATAATTACATCTACATTCACATATTTTTATCTGTATATTTGAATATTTTTACTGACTTGATCGTTCGAGTGTTTTTGAGTTTAATCCCCAACTTTGCAAGTCCATTTCTAACTGCCCAAATCAATTAGCCGGAACTCAGCAACTGACCGCGGCGACCTACCAATATTATTCAAATATTTCTTCCTTATTCTCTCTTGGTCCTGGAAATGTACAAAATATTTCTTCCTAATTTAGTACCGTACGCCATCATTTCAAGTGCCAGCATTATGATGCCAATTATAGTACTCCATTGGTCTTTCCTTCAATTATTCCTTGAATATAGATATTAAAATAAGTGTAGCACGTGGATACAGGGAATCCGGGAACAGTGACGATATGAACCTTTTAACAAACAAGTTGATCCGCAACTTGCATTAGGGGCTGGGGCATAAGTTTTATCATATGCCCTGCCTCTTTCAAGTTGGCCGTTTTCTTCTTTTCCTGTCTGTTTATAGTTTTTGGGTCACTTTTGAATGGGATGGTCCTGTACTTACGTTCGTGTCGTTAGTTGAGTACTACTGCTTCAAAGTGTCAGAAATATTTTCGTCCTTTTCTTTTTTTCTTAATTTTTTGTACAAACTACAAATTCAGAACTTGGGCAAATATAGTGGTTGAGTGTCAACATCTTCCCTTATTAATTTACTCCACATGTTCATAATAACTAGCTAACATTTCCATAAGATATTAAGATTAAAATTATATTTACTCAATCTTAAAAAATAGGTTTTTTTTTTATTTTGTTTTTGTTTTTTCTTTTTTTTTCTCGTGGAAAAATGTAGTTTTTAAAAATAAGGAACTGAATAACATGTATTTACACCTGAAATGCTTTTTTTTTTTTTTTAACTTTCTTAATGCGTTGGTCTTGTATACTCCCATTTTGTGTGTAAACACCAAATATATATATATATATATATATATATATGTTTCTGAGAAACCACACCTACACGAATTCCCCCATCAACCGGCATAAACTCCTACTTCCTTTGTCTTCACACATAGTTGAAAACTCCAAAACCAGTTCATGCTAGGTAACTTACTAGTATTATACTAAGATGAAAATGGGTGGAACTTGTAGAACAAAGGAGGAGAAGGGAATTATTGTCCTTATTATTTTTCCTACACGAGGTAGGACTTAGGAGGCAGCAAATACCACAAAAAAATAAATACCGGCGCACGGTATTACTAATAATTAATGTCTAATCCCTTCAAAGTTCAAACTCCAAGATCTACAAACAATCAGGGATACCAAATAATATCGGTAAAAGGTTATGTTTCAATTTAAGAACCCAGTATATATCTTTTAGGGAAAATGAGTCTTTTTATCTTAAAGTTTGGGCCACACTATTCAAAACATGCTAAAGTTTAAGAACATGCCATTTACATCTCAAAATTTTTAAAAACATATTACATTAGGATATTCGTTAAATTTTTAACTCTAGTTAATTAATAAGTGATAGTACTTTATTCTATTTCTCCTCCCCCAATTCTTTTAATCATTTAACACGTTCCACTAACTCCTACATTATAAAAAAATAGCTAAACTTAATTTGGTCTTCACATCATCCATTCTTCCCTTGCTTTGAAAAAGAAAAAAAAAATCCAAGATTCACCTTCTAGATTGATAACAATCATGAGAGGTTTTGTGTGTGTCCTAATTAGAAAGTAATTCCTATTTCA